TTTGTCAAATTCTTTAATACTCAATTGATAATCAGCAATTTAGTAATTTTTAAAACTTTAATTTGTTACATTTTTCTATATTTTGTTGCATACTCGAGTAGGATCGGACTGCAGTCCGACTCTTCCAGTACTAGAATAGATAGGGCCCTTATGGAAGGAGACATAGATATGTCTCCATAAATGTCTCCAAATTTTTAAATTTATTTCTTAGGCTGGGTTAATAAAAAAAAAAGTAATTGCTTTAATTAGCGTTTTTGGAGTAATTGTTCAGCATCACAGGAATAAAAATTTGAGTTGAATCGCTCAATTTTTTATTTACGTAAAGTTAAGCAATTTACTCCAACAACGCTGAGTAATTTTTTTTTATTTAGTTATTTATTTATTTAGGTGCCCCAAGAAGACCTAACGGTTTTGTCACAGAGCAAGTTTTTATTCACGTAAAGCTGACCATTTACTGAGTAAAAGGTTTAATTAAGCCAGGCGAATAAAAATGAGCAATTGTTTTTACTCAGTAATTGGTCAGCTTTACATTTATTTATTTATCATTTATTTGTCATTAAAAAAAGAATACAATGCCGTGTTATATAAACAAAGTCTATATGACCGGGGCTAAAAGAAGACAATATTTGCCTTATCACTACATCCCGACGTTCTTTTATCACCAAGCGTGTATAATCATTAAAATGTAAACATATAACATAAAATTACTTTGCACCATTTAAAAATTGTATACAAATATATACAATTATGTTAAGATCAGTTACAAATCTATAATCAAAAGAAAATCGTAAAAAAAAAAAAAAAAAAAAAGCAATCACACCTTAAAACTAAAGATAAGTTAATAGGATAATTTAAATTAGTTAGACTAGTTAATAAGATAGTTGTTAAAAAAGAAGATAAAAGAATCTTAAAAAGAATTTAATTCATTAACATCGTTAAGAAGTTTTTGCTTGAGTTTTTGTTTAAATAGAGAAAGTGAAGAACAATTTTTCAACTGGTTATTTAATAAAGTGTTCCATAATTTAGGACCTCTGATGGCAATTGAAAATTTAGTAATCTAGTAGCGTATTTTAGGTTGCTCGTAATTGTAATTTGAAAACCTTGTAGGATACACGTGATTAATTTTATTGAAAAGTGTATTAAAAATTATAGGAGTTAATTTACTATGTAGTTTGTACATAAATATAAGAATTTGATAAAGGTTTAACTGAAGAACATTGAGTACGTGATGATTTTTAAATAATTCTTTAGAATGTGCGAATCAACCTGCATTTGAAATAATCCTGACAGCGTGTTTTTGTCTACTAAGCAGTTTTTTAACTATACTTACATTAGAGCTGCACTATGCAATATTTTCATAGTTTATATAACAATGTATGAAAAATCCACATCTGTTTCCCTACAGCTGTATCCGAAGTTACAGATTTGCGGATACAGATGTAGGGAAAAATTTAAGATTTTCAAGCAGTTTTGGTCTAAAGATTTACTTAGCTTTAAATAGTATGTCAATATTTTTCGAAATTTTATTTTCAATTGTTCTTATATGTTCTCTCCATGTCAGGTTTTCGTCAAAAATCACTCCTAAAAACTTTAATGATAACTCTCTAATTATTTTATAGTTGCAATGTAAAGATCAGGAAGTTTTAATGGAATATTTTCTTTATTATGAAGTCTATGAAAAAAAGTATACTTAGTTTTATTTAAATTAAAGGACAATTTGTTTACTATTTTAAATAAAAGGTTGACATCTCTATTAAAATAAAATAAATTTGTATCATCTGCAAATAAAATTGAGTTTAAAATGTTTGAAAGCTTAAGGAAATCGTTTACATAAACAAGAAATAAAAGTGGACCTAGAATTGAGCGTCGGGGCACACCGCAAGTAATAGTCAAGTATTTAGTTTTTCCTTTTTCGTGTGCTATTTACATAAATAAAAACTTAAGCAAATTTGCTAAAGTTTTTATTCACGTAAAGCTAACCAATTGCTGAGTTGAAGCAATTGCTCATTTTTATTCACCCGGGCTATTGTGTAGATAAGCAATCTGAGTAAAAACCAAGCTTTGCGTGAATAAAATTTGAGCAAATTCTTGAAGTTTTTATTCAGTAAAGCTGACCATTTACTGAGTAAAAGCTATTGCTTTTTTTTATTCATTCAGCCTCTTTTCTAAAGCATAGTCGAAACTTCTTTCACCTAATGTTTTGTTTGAGTTTATAAAAATATATTTTAAGGTTTTTTGACAGCATAATTTTTTGCCGCACTAAGTATAGCATTACTAAATATACATAATACATACTATCTTCAAAGCATGACTAAAATTACAGCATTATTTTGCGTGTTACATTAAAAGCGTGACTAAAATCGGAGCAGGTTGTAAACTAATCCTTTTCTTTTTAAATCTTTTTACAAACAAAAAATTTTAAAAAAGTACTAAAATAAACATTTTACAAATATCAAAACTTAGTTATAATAGCGCATAACAGCTGTCTCACGGAGTGATATTTCGGTAATGGTAAAAACAGTGAGTAATGGCAATGTAAATTGAAAACTGGTAATGTTAAAAACAGTGAGACTTATCGAATTAAAAGTGACAATTATTGAACAAAATAAATAAAATGGCCTGGTATCTAATAAAAACATTTTTAACTAGCATACAGATACTCAATAATTGTCACCTGTTTCATTTTAAAAGTTAAATTTTAAATTAAGGGGTGCGATGGTGGAACACCAACTCCCCTTTCCCCTACAACCCCTCTAAACTCGTCTCTGCTTATAAATGTTTTATTGGTTCCATTTTCAATTGCCAAATTAATTTAAATTTAGTTGATTTTACAGGCGGTTTTAAAGAACATAAAGAGCGTTTTTGATGTTTAAAGACAAATTTAAATCCCACGTGCTTTTATGATTTGTTTCACATTGGTAACGGAAACATATCATAATATTACATTAAGTTTCCGTAATGGTAAAACCATTTATAAAAACTTAATATCTTTTATAACATTTTAACCGAATTAAAACCCTATTCTTGACAAATATTTTTATATCTGTTTTAGGGGGGTTTAAAGCGCGAAGCAAAAATTATGCGTAACATTTAAAGGTTACGCATATCTTCAGCACAAATCTGAATATTTACGGATTGTAGCATTTGGGAATACTAAGGGATTAGGAATCCTACCCATTAGCCATGACACTGGTTGATGAGCTTGTGCCAAAAGCTTAATAGATTGTTTCTTAAAGGAGTTTATAATAGACTAGCTAGAACGAGAGCGAAGCCAAAATTTGTTTAAAATTGCGGCACCGTTATAGTAGTATAATATTTTCAGTGGCTAGACAAAATGGCGCGTTTGCATTGAAAAGAGAACTTTGTAACCTTAAAAAGACTTTGTAACCTTTGAAAGCTGTAATTGAAGTCTTTTTTTGCTTGTTTAAACAAAAAATAAAACAAATAACACGGTCTTAAGAATGAGTTTTCAATGTCATGAAAATTACTTTTTACCAAAAAACCGTGTTGGGTATAAAGTTTTTACCATTGGTTTCACCATTACTGAAACGTACATAAAAATATACTAAGTTTCCGTAACAAATATAAAACCAGTCATATTAAATTTGAGGTTAAAACCTTATAAAATACAAGCTAAACTTGAGTAAAACTGCTTGTGAAATCAACGCGTTTTTGGTTTACGCCTAGATCGCGACACTCACGACACCCTGACCTTTTCTCCGTGTATCATTGATAGTTACTTCAGTTATAGTTTTTTGCCACTATAAAGCAGCCCATTTTAATCTGCAGCTACAGTATTTTCTATTTGAACGTTTCTCTCTCTCGCTTGTTTCATCTTAAGAATTGGTACATGAATAAAAAACGTATTGCTTTTAAAAAAATATTGCTGAGCACAAATACTTTTGTACTAGGGTTAACAAAATAAAATTATTTATGTAGGAGAGGGCTGTACTAATCTAAATTAAAAACATTTTTGCATTGCGCACTATTCCATAAATTTTACATTTATTTTGTACAATTATATACTTGAGAGAACATAGTATCATCTAATGGGTTGGTAATAACGAGAAGCCGTGGTGCAGTGGTTGCGTACTTGCCTCAGAAACAAGGGATCCGCGGTTCAAAGCCCACATCTGTGCAAGTTTTGCGACATCGGTTAAGAAGGAGGCGTGAACTTCCAATTAAATGTTCATCCGCGGTTTTCTGTAATAAGACCGTAAAGACTCTAAATAAATTTAAAAAAAAAAAAAAAAAAGTGCTAACCTGTTTCCGAACTAATCGGTCAAAAAATATTGTAAAAGTTATCATATTTTAGTTTGTAAAACTATTTATTATTTGCGTTAATTGTGTAATAATACCAACTAAATATATTGTTAAAATATATTGCGCTTTGGCTCTGCGCTTTATTGTCTCTAGCTTTTTAAGTTTATTATTTTATTACTATATCTTTTATTCTTCTTATATTCTTATAAACTATTATTTTAGTGATAAATTGGCCTGCCTGGGAACAAAAACTAAGGCTGACGCTTCTCTACACAAATAATTGTATTTTGACAACAATTGTAGAAAAGTACTTGTATTCCACATTTCCTTTACACAAACTATGCGTTCTTAACTCATATACCAATGCAAACCATATTTTTCAATCTAACTGCAAATGTAGTTGCACTAACTAACGCAAAATCCGATTGGCTTAACTGCAAATTAAAGGCAATTACCCAAACTAATTCATATGCCCAAACTAAAAATCCCAACTCAAAACGCGGTTGACCAACGATATAGGCTACTTGGAGTATTGCCTTATCAATGTTACAAGTATTTACAATTTTTAGGAGGCATCGATCCCAGAAAAACTGACTAAAAGCTTTTATAAAGGAATTACAATAAGAAACCGACATAAAAAATGTTAAACAATCGGCATAACAAAGACTTTAAAATCTTTCAATTATTTTTAACATTTTTAAAAACTCATTCATTTGCTAAGTAAATGTCTACGGCAAACGATTTGCTTATGGCATGACAATCAAAAAAACGTCACAGGCCGATACACATGAGATTATTTACCACATGATTTTTCACACAAAATCCAACGTTTAAATACTTTATTAAGAACGTCCTTGTTTGCAGGTCTGTTAAACATTAATATTTCGAGTAACTGTAAACTTAAAAATAACAATTACTATATTTGAGGTTGCTAGATGATGTTGGTTTATATACTGCTTATCCAGGTAAGTATAAATCACTAACATAATGAAATTACTAACCAATAGATGTATATATATATTTTTAAATAATTAACTTTAGTTTGTTGATAAATGATAGTTTTGTTTAATATTTCTAAACATATTTTGCTCAACAGTTGCTTAGTGCCGCTCTTCAAACTTTTGTTTTATATTAATATTAATATATATATATATATATATATATATATATATATATATATATATATATATATATATATATATATTATATATATATATATATATACGTTTTCTTAACTGTTCTAGGTTTTAGTTTGCATAAAAGGCATTCCAAAGCATCCGAATTTAGAAACAATTTAAAAAAAAATCATTTAACTCATTGTTAAATAGGTTTTTTGTTTAAATAACATGAAATATAATTGCATTATTATTAAGTATGAAATAATTAATAATTGGGGTAGCAAAATTTGTATAAGACAAAAAATTTGAAGAATGGTTTGAAAAAATGAATGCTCTTATGCAACATTTTGTTCTCAACCCTTATTTGTTGGGAAGCAAAAGTCTGAAAATGACAATTAAGTTAAACTGTACAAAAACATAAAAAATTTTCTGTACTTTTTTAAACCCATATATGTGTTAATGCACTAAATATAAACAATCTTCCTTAGCATGTATAAATCCCCGAAATGTGTTTAACGTTTGCCCCAAATTCAATCTGAATCCCTCTACGAAATTAATCAAAACTAATTGGTACAAAAAGAGTAAAATGAACTATGTTGTTTTTTAGGGGTTAGAATCGAACAAAATTAGCCTTCTTAACATACAAGCGTTATTTTAAGATAAAATAGAAGCAAAAATACAACCAAAAAAATAAAGTTAAACAATCAAAAAAAAATTTAGTTCTTATTTTAAAGTATATATATATATATATATATATATATATATATATGTATATATATATACATATATATATATATATATATACATATATATATATATATATATATATATATATATATATGTATATATATATACATATATATATATATATACATATATACATATATATATATATATATGTATATATATATATGTATATATATATATATATATATATATATATATATATATATATATATATATATATATATATATATATATATATATATGTATATATACATATATATATATATACATATATATATATATATATATATATATATATATATATGTATATATATATATATATATATATATATATATATATAGCTCACACAAACGAAACTATTAAATTGTATATATATATATATATATATATATATATATATATATATATATATATATATATATATATATATATATATATATATATATATATATATATATATATATATATATATATGTATGTATGATACTAAAATTTGTAAACTTAAGTTTAAAGTCTGAAACGACACTAGTTACATATTTTGTGCAAACTTTGAAACATTATCTTTTAAAGTCTATCAGCAAATACTCACCGAAAAGACGTTTCTGACATTTTTATATTGTAGTGCAAGCAATCCTCTACACCTACAAGTCAAAAACAATTCAAAATTAAGCTCAAAAATAAATACTAACTAGCTCACACAAACAAAACTATTAAAAATAGTTTCACCTAAAATATCTTTTTATTTATAAGAATTAAAATTATACATTTTTTTAGTTTTTTTGTTTCTGGTACAAAAAAGTACCTTAGTAGAAGTCTCGATTTTTTAAATAGTAAATTTAATTTTATTTGGTTAACGTAAGCAAATTTCCCAAATTTCTTCAATTTTGCAACAGTATTTTATTTGTAAACTTTACTGTTAATATTGTTTTGGTTTTTAAACTGTAAACAAATTTGTATAATCAATCATCATATATAAAAAATAGCGGTTTAACAACTTACAATTTCGAATTTTAGGGGTTATCAAAAATTCTGGAAATCTGTTAATTTGGTATCCTTGGCCCCGAAACTGGGTGTGGTTGGTAAAATCATTAGCTTTCAAGACAACTGTCGAATCTTGCAAGTTCTTTTAGATTTTTATTTTGAAATTTTTTAATAATGCAGAAAATATTTAGTTAATCTTTATAAATACTTTTTTTACTGTTTGACAGAGAATCAAACAAGTTCTCTTTATAACTGCTCGTTTTTGTATGACTTATAAATTCATTATGGTGATTGAAAATATTAAGAAGCGAACATGATTAAATTACTATTTTCTAAATTTTTTTACTAAAAAATTTTAAAGAGAAAAGTTTGGCAATAGAAGGCCATCGCTCTTTGTTGGATTAAAAAGAGTTTAAAAAACCATTTGAATTATTATTTTGTAGTTGAAAAAAGGTTCATATCTTAAGCTTAAGTGACAGTAATATTTAACAAGACACATGTCAATGTTCAAACGCTCAAGTAAATAATCCACAATAAAATCAAGTAAATAAATTTATGCTAATCAAAACAAGGTAAAGTTTAAAGTACGGACGTAAGACTTTAACTAATTTACAGCGCAGAAATTGCTTACCAAAATAAAGTCACCAAAACAAAAACTAAATAAGATGATGACTTTTTGTAATGTTGTGTGTTAATATTAAAACATAAATATTTAAAAATCTTATTTAGTAATATGTTTATTATAAGAGATTTGCGAATATTTTTTTTAATGTTTGATTAACGCGATAAAATAAATTACGGATTAGGATGCCCTAAGTTTTTCCAAAGTTTGAAAGTGAATATGCAGTCAAATGGCAAAATTAACAATTAAAAAAGTTATTCATATAAACTTTTTTTGGCATTAAATCCCAAAAATTGCTGTTTTTAAAAATTTTACTAACTTCTTCTTATAAACATTTCTTTTAACTAATAACATATTTTCACTATGTTGTGTTTTACAATGACCTGAAGCATTATTTTTTAGTTTAACTTTTCACTATAGTTGTTTTATCACTATAGTTGTCTTATGAATATAGTTGTCCTACCACTAAGCCTCGTAATATATACGTAAGTTACATAGCTTATAAAAACCGTTTAACTTAAAAAAAACATAAAAAGATAAATTAATTTTTTCATACCGTTAAGCTTTACTAAAAATATAATTAAATAGGGATTAACTAACAAACCAAAAAATAAAACTGTATTATACTTTATTATATTTATACATCTGAATAAATAAACAAATTGTTTTTTTAAATTTATTTATTTAAACTTTATATACAGAAAATAACTTTACAATGACGTTTAACTCTATATTATTTTAATGTCTATGCATCAATTATGTAAAGGTCCTCTAATTATCTTAAATGACAATGAAAATTTGTAAATAAATTTGCGAACCAATAAACGCAAGATGTATCACAACGGTAGCATTTTAGAGAAAACTGAAGAGTCATTTACAAGAAATGAAACAATATCTTTCACAGGATATCAAAAACTAAATCCTTTTCAACTCTGATCAGTATAAATGTTTAATGATGATCATTAAAAAATGCTATTTCCAAAAGATCTTCGTTAAAAATAAAAATAAAATCTATAACGTGATTTGGTTATCAAGAATATGTACTGGATTTTTAGACAAGCATTTTTTTCCAAAAAATAAAAAGAAGAAAATTTGGCATTAGTATTTAAAGGCCAACGACACGGAGGGGGGCGTCTATTATGAGTCCATTGTTCTTTGTTAAACTGAAAATGATTAAATCAACTCTTAAATTATCAGATTGTAATTAATTAAAAAGAGTCTCACTCCTTAAACTTAAGATACAGCTGTATTTAACAAGTTCCATGCCAATGGTTATATTTAATAAATAAAATACATAACATGGATACCAAACACTTATGTTTGTTAAGTAAAGAACTCTGAGAAGGAGGGTGCAGACGTCATAGTTTAAAAATTAATCGAGAAATTGATTAATAGGGTAAAGCAGGCTTCTCATGCCCAGGTACGACAAGAAATGCATTGGAACCAGTCTTCTGATGAATCCGCCCATACCACACCAAACACACAGCAGTGAGCTGTTTTTTGCTGTTTATGTTATAAGTTTTTGATGTATTCGGTAGCATTTGATTTAATAGTGATTTTAAACTATGTGATTTCTTCTTCTTTAAGCCATATGGTTTTATTTAATGAGGCAAAAAATTCTATTTCTTTCTTGAGCCAATTGTTTTTTTTATTTGATGGAGAACTTCTTCTACTTCGAGTCACTTGGATTGGAAAACGCATCCAGAAATTTTCTAATTTTTTATATAAGTGAGTAATCTAAGTGAAACTTATACCATGTAGTGAGCAAATTTTTTTTGAAGTAATCACAATGATGTAATTTTTTAGCATATAAATAAGCATTATACCTCAACCAATTTTTTGTCCATTGAAATCCACGATCTGCCATGTAAAAAAGCTAAATTTAATTGTTTAGCTAAATTTAATTATTTAGCCGATAAAAAATAATTTTTCAGCAGTAATTTTTTTTTTAATAATGTTAAATTTTGTTTTAATTATACCTATTTAGGGGCTGTTCATAAATGATGTCATCGATTTTTCTCAATTTTTTGATCCCCCTCCTCCTTTGTCAAACGTCAATTTTTGGCCAACTCCCCTTATATATGATGTCAGTTTTTGTACCCCTCCCTCCCTAAAGTAACATAAAAAATATGTGCAAACACCATTGATTATTTTCTGGTTAAATTATGCATTTATAAAGTAGTAGATCTCTGATATAATTTTTGATAACGTATAAACTAGAGAAAACAGTGATCCCAAATCTTTGTTTATGAGTTTATTAATTTTATTTGTAATCTTTGACTTAATCTTAATGTATACTTTTACTTTCTCCTAATGAAATTAAATTTGAAAAATATTTGGTAGAAATTGTTACAATAAAGTTTCCACTGCAAAAAGTTTGATCATTAAATTTTTTTTAATTATCGAAACATAAACAAGTATAGTGCACGAACATTTTTTTTCTAAATCCCCACTTTATGAAATTGTTTTACATAAGTTTATAACTTTGTATATAGTTTTATAGTATAAAATTATAGTATAAGTAGTATAGTATAAAAATTTATAAACATATAATAATAGTTATAAAAAATATAAAAAACAAGATCAGGTCTTTTATAACTATATCTTTTTCATAAATTTCATCACGTTTATATCTATATCTTATTTATAAATTTCAAGACCATTATAGCTCTTATTACTTATATAAAGTTAAAAAGTTTTAACCTAATTTTAATTTATATTAGTTTTAAAACTTAAATAAATTGAAATTATGTTAACTAAATCAAAAAACTACTAGACAAAAGTTTAACATACGATCCAAAAGTTTAAAATACGTTTAACTTAATCTAAATCTACTAACTTAATCTAAAATAGACTAAATCTAAACGCTATATATACGTTAGTTAGACTAGATTTAAAATCTAGTCTAACTAACGTATATATAAAAAATCTAAAAGCTTTATATATGCATAATAATCCTATAATAGACGTCTAAAATACGTTTAAATATAGACATTTAATGGACGTTTGTTCTAAACGTTAATCTGGATTTCATTCTAAACGGATAATCGACCAAATCTGAAGGTTTTGTCGAAACATTTTTTTGACGTTTAACTGACGTTTGTGTGTTTAATGGGATGAGTTTTGAAGATAACCTTTTTTTTTTTAACTTATCTTATATATTTTTTTATTTTTAACTTTTATTGATATCTTTATTTAAAAGAAACTTTTTAATTCTAGCATAGTGTTATCAATAAATAAAACGAACTGCTTAAATTCTTTTTTAAAGAGTGGTTTTCTATTTAAAGAGTGACTTACTTTTTATTAGCTATGTCTGAAAATGTTTCTATAGATATAGTCTGCGACACTTAATTGAGTATGATCAAGATATATTTTGGAACAACATAGTTGTTCTCTGAGAATCTTCTAGTATTGTGTATTTATGACCGACAATACGACTGTTTAAGTTTACTTAAATGCTTTTTTAGTTTACAGTATGTTAAGTAAATATGAATAAAAATAAAGTTTTAGTTTTAATGTAACATATTAACTTATATCAATATTTTTCACAAAATTATTAACAAAAAATAAACAGATATATTGTGTGGTTTACGTTATTAAACATTTTATTAAATCACATATAGTATTATGTGATTTAATAAAATGTTTAAACTACGTTTAAACTACGTTTAAACTATTTAAACTATCAAACGTACAATATTTGTACGTTTGAAAGTTTTTAAATGTTAAAAACTATCAAACGTACACTCAGTGTACGTTTGATAGTTTTTCTTGTTTTAGTAATACTAGTGCTACAACGAGTAATGTTTGCGTAATTAAGATAGTAATGATAAGTAAAAGTTTACGGCAAACAATTTGCTAATGACTAGAAAATCAAAATATACCATCAGCCGGTGCGAGTGAGATTATTTACCGCACGATTTTTTCACGCAAAAACCGACGTTTAATGAGCTTTATTAAAAACGTCCTTGATCACGGGTCGATCGATCAATAATATTTCGAACTGTTTTTTTTTTTTATTAAAAGTAACCATATTTCAGACAGCTCAGTGATGTTGGTTCATATTTTGCTCATCCAGGTAAATATAAACCACTAACCAAATAAAATTACAAACTATCAGATTTGCAAGAGTGTTTTAAATCATCACCTTATATCTAAAAAAAATTTGTTTTTATACTTTTCATTTTTTCATTTAATGTCTTAACTTTTGTTTTTGTTGATAGTTTTGTTTAATATTTCTAAACATATTTTGCTTGACTAAGCGCTGCCCTTTAAACTTTTGCCTAATATATATATATATATATATATATATATATATATATATATATATATATATATATATATATATATATATATATATATATATATATATATATATATGTGTGTATATATATACATATATACATGTATATATATAAATATAAATGTAATATATATATATATATATATATATATATATATATATATATATATATATATATATATATATATATATATATATATGTATATATATATATATATATATACATATATACATATATATTTATATATATACATGTATATATGTATATATATATACACACATATATATATATATATATATATATATATATATATATATATATATATATATATATATATATATATATATATATATATATATATATATATATATATGTATATATATATAAACAATTAAAAGTTACAAATTGTTTTAGGTAATGTTTGGCAATATTTTGTTAAAGACAAACCTACACAAAATCGCAAACAAGTATAGAAAAGTTGATCAACAAAACAATTCACTTCAAATTTTAAATTATGGTTCCCAAAACAACCTAACAGAAAATTTTAAAAGTTTTGAAAAACTAAAGAAGCAACATTTTATCAGAAAGTTATTGATACTAACAAAAAAAAAATTACGATTAAAAAGATTAGCGCAAGTTAAATCAAAAAAATGTAATTCAAATTCAGGAATGCAAAAATGTTTTTTTGTAGCAACATCAAAACCAAATATAAGAGTTATGAATTATTGCCCAAATAATTTAAAATGCTTTGGACACTCTAAATAAATCAGCTTATATCGGCTGATTTGTTTATGCTATGGTTGTATCTATTTTTGCTGACATACAATAAAGAATAAATCTGTTTTCATTCTCACTCATTGTAATGATTTTGCATTATTACGTGTTAAGAAGCTGGCGAGACAAAGTGTATATATTTTTAAGCAACAGTTTTGAAAAAATTTTATAATCTGATACGTATCAATCTGCACTTTAATGTTTATGTTGAAGAATTTGAGAATGTTGACATGATTGTATATGAACAGTGACATGTATATGTCCAAATAAATTTGTATGTCCAAATGAATTTAAACACGAAGTAGCAGTGTACTCAAAGTATTATTTACGGTTTTTTGGCTAAAAACGTGTGAAAATACCTAAAAGACATAAATTTTATTGTAAATATAGTTATAAAAATTTATAATAATTGTAAATATTTTTATATTTAAATTACTTTATAATTACTTTTAAATACACGTATCTTGCCTTAGGTCTTAGTTTGAATACAAGATATCTTGGATATATACATTGTTTTTTCTTGTTTTGATAACATGAAATACAAATACATTATTGTCAAATAAAAAATGAGTTGGTACGCAAAATAAAAATGCAGAAGCTGTTTGGGACAAGAAACATCAAAAAATATTGGAAAAACAAAACGCTTTTACGCAAAATATTTTTTGAGTATAATTACTTTTGGGTAAACGTTAGTAAGAAAAATATATTTAAATGGCAAGTTGACGAAAATCGTATTAAAAAACGACTTTTCCGTATTTTTACTGAATTAATATTTAAACACAAGCATATATATAAACCCCTAAATATGGTAAAACCCCGTTTTAAATTAAAACCCCGTTTTAAATATGTTTAAACCCCGCTCTAATTTTGATCAGGATGTCTCTCTGCGAATCAATCAAACTCATTGAGGCGAAAATTAAATTATTTTTTTTTTAAGCGAAAATTAAATAATTTTTTTTTTTTTACATGTTTAGTAAAGTTTAGAATTGAAACTAATTTTCTCTAAATACTCGCGTTATTTTTATATTTAAAGTTGATGCAAAACTATAACCACAAAAAGTTAGACAAGTTTTAAATTTAAAAAATTTTCTTTTGTAAATTTTTTAGAAAAGAATTTCTTGTGAAGTTTTTAGATGAATTTTTTCAAATAATTACTTTAAATAAAAAATTATTATTATGTCAATAAAAAAATTAAGTCAATAAAAAATTTTACATTGCGCGTGCAAACATTGAAATAATATCTTTTCAAATCTATTTGCAAATTGTCTACAAACTTTTCTCACACTTTTTTAATATAATGTATATAACAACACCTACGTCAAAAACAAATCAACATTAAGCACAAAACCAAATACTAACTTGTGCATAAAGCAGCCTACACATGCTTTGTTTCCACACAGTTTTGCTCAAAATATCTTTTGATTTTAAAGGGAAATTTTGTTAGTTTCTTTAGTTTCTGTTGTCCAAATATTTATTCTTGTAAACCTTTATGTACTCTGGTAGTGTTAGTAAAAGTTTGACTTACTCTGGTAGTATTAGTAAAGATTATACTTTTAATATATGTTATAAACCTTTTGCAAGTGCGATTGCAAAAGGTTTTAATGAAAAAACAACTTTCTTTTGTTAACTCTTTTAATTTTACATTAGCTATTTAATTTTATAGTTTACCGTATATAATGCTTGGTTTTTAAACTGTAAAAAAATGCGTATAATTAAAAAAAATAAACATTTTTTACACAGTTTGACTATACACATTTTTTTATTACATACACTATACACCTACTTGTGCGGCCGTGGCGCAGTGGTTAGAGCGCTTGCTTTAGAAGCAGCAGATCCAGGTTCGAAACGAGCTCTGGACATATTTTCGCGTCACGGTAAGGAAGGAGGCGTGAACTTCCTGGTTAAATGCACATCCGCGGCGCTCTGTGACAAGACCGTTAGGTCTTCTTGGGGCATCTAAATAACCAAAAAAAAAAAAAAAAAATACCGACATATTCGGTATTATAGCGTGGAGTTTCAAACTTTCTAGAATAGGGGCTGTCCACTAGTTACATCAACAATTTTTATGAAATTTTTACCTCCCCTTCCCCCTTGTCAACAACTTGTCAAATTTCCAGAGACCCCCCTATAAAATTACGTCAACTTTTAATTACCCTCCCTCCCCGCCCCCTATACACAAAAACAAAGCAATGAAACTCAAAAAAAAAAAGAAAAATTGTTGACGTCAACTTTAATTGACTCCCCCACCCTCCCCCATGTCAATAATTGTCAAAATAGTTTAGACCCCCTCCCCCTATTTTGTTGACTTAATTAATGGACAAGCCCATATGAGAAATTTTGGAAACCAGTAATTTCGTGCGCTAAGTAATTTCTTTAGCTTGAAAAAAAAGCTCAAAAAATTACCTATAGGGTTTTCTTAAAAATTTTAAAAAGTATTTAAACAGTTTATATTTTATAAAGATTTGTTTTTTTACTGTTTGATAGAAAATTAAACAATGTCTCTTCATAAATTATTTTTTTTGTATGCCTTACCTAGTATACTTTGTGTGTTACTTTGTATAGTTACCTTGTGTGCTTACCTTGTGTGCTTATCTTGTGTGCTTACCTTGTATACTTATCGGTAATAGTCCTAACAATCTCCGGTAAATTTATAAATCTATCACGTGATTTGGTAATTAGGATAATCAGCGTAAAATACATGTAAAATGTGGTATAGCACTTTGTTGACCATAATTCACCAGCTAACCATTAAAAAAGTTAACATTCTGATTAAAGATTAGTTTGACAACATAAAAGGGAGTGTAAGGGAAGAAAGTTTCTTCAAAACTTAAATTCACCCGACTGAAATGCGTCAAATACACACATGCCACTTCTTCTAAACTGGCCCTGAGTATAGCGGATGTGTATATCAGTAACCTTTTTTTTGACATAAAAAATGCCTCTTTAAGAAATTAGAGAGTGTTGGCTTATCAAGACAATACATCTTAGATGTGAGAATTTTGGGAGATTGTTAATGTAAATTAAAAAGAGTATTTGGTTAAAGCTAGAACCTTGAGGAACCCTTGAAGTTACAGAATATGAAGAAGAGTGCTGTCCATTTAGGACAACTTTTATACTACGATTGGAAAGGAAGGATTCAATAATCTTAAAGATGTTACCTGATACACCGTAATAAGATAGCTTATGGAGAAGATCAGCATGGAAAAGAAATGTTAAGAGTGATAGCCTTAACCTCTCCACATCTATTTAATGCACGATAAAACCAATCTATTATTACCGTTAAAAAATCGCTAATAGAATGAGAATACTGAAATCTGTATTGATCATAAGAAAGTATGTTATTAAATTCAAGATAAGAGATTAAGTGTTTGTTAATTAAAGATTTAAAAACCTTGTTTATAATAGTAAGAAGACTAATGGAACGGAACTTAGACAAAATGCTCTCCAGAGTTTTCGAAAATAGGTATAACAGATATATTTCCAGTAGGTTGAAAAACAACACTCTGATAAGCACCTAATAAATAGTTTTGAAAGTATAGTTGACAGCTCCGGAGAACACTTCTGCAAGACTATAACAGGTATGTTGTCCGGACCATAAGCTAAAGTGGAAATCACTTTAGATACAAAAGTTGGAGTGATATCAATGGATCAACCTTTTTTACGGCTACATCAGTTAAACGCGTCTAGTGGGATCAAAAGACGATATTGATGAGAAGTTCTTAGCAAACAAACCAGCTTTGTCTTTAGGTGAGGTGACAAAATCTGAACCATGCAAGAGAGGAGAAATAAAAGATTTTCCCTTATTATAGTTACTGTAAAGTTTCTCAAAAAGTCACGAAAGCCTAACTTTTAAAATAAAATACAAGATTTTGTGACCTGAGAATAATGAGCTTTGGGGTTAGTCAAGACCTTTTTCAATAGTTTCTACCAATAGTAAACAGACGCCTATTTTCTTGAAAATTTTTATGCTAACAAATGTAACAGTAATGGTTATGATTGGAAATTGCAGGTTCACAATGAGTGAGGCTTGATTTAAAATTTTCGAAAGGGAATAAAAGATTCCATGCCAGCCTGATTCCAAGAATTTATTTAAGAAGCACATTAGTTAGCACAAGACGAAAGATTTCTTCTTAAAGTCTTTCAAAAGAAAATCACGGAAAGAGACTCAGTCAGCTTTAAGGTAGATAAAAGAGGTACAATGATAGAGGGATTCTGATGATGAAGAAGAATGAGATAATAGTTTTAGAGAGATCAAACCGTGATCAGAAGCACCTAAAGATGAATGTGGTGAAACTGAGCACAGGCTAGGATCAGAAACAAGACATTAGTCGATTAGAGAAATGATTCAGATTGTCTAGAAAAGGAGTTGGAAAGTGGACTATTTGTATTAGAGGTTGAGAAAGGTAAAAGTTGTTAGAACTTAGTGATGACAATGATTTTTTGTGTTTTGTGGTTTTTGGTTCTTTAGTCATTTTTAAAATTGAACTCAATACACTATAATGAACTTGACTCAAAGCACAGATAGTACTCAGTACACTATCATTATTTGGTGTTAAGTATATATAGCTTTGTTTCTGGTTTATAGGAAGTCATTCTTTATAAGAATTAATGCTTTTTATTTTTTTTTCTTTTCATAAGATCTGCTTATAAATGTAATAATAAAAGCACCAGCATCTAAAAGTTAAATCCACAAACTTTCTGCTAAAAAACCTATAGCATTAGTTGCTAATATCCAAGATAGTGTTGCTGCAATGATACCTGGGCAGGCGGCAGCATTTTTATTTTAGCAATCTATTCTAAACCGTTTGCCATCTAAAATTCTTTTATTTTCACCACCACCTTTAACATTGCTGTCTGAATATCTTTTTTCATCTTTTTTATCCTGATTTGCCTTGCTCGCCAACTTTATCTAAATTATAACCACTAATCCTATAGACGATAATACTGCAGCTATGGTTAATCTTTGTTCGAAAAAAATCATTCTTATTCTATCTGCTAAAGCTAGTTCTAAATTCTCAAATATTATCAAATTGGCTTTTAACATTCTTTTTTTAGTTGTTCTAGTTTTAAATTTGCATTACTATTTTTTTTAACATTTTTTAAATTTTCTCTTTCCTGCTTAAGCCTTTCTTTTGAAATATCAGGTTGCTACTTTTATATTTCTTTAAGAGCCTCAATTTTGCCTTTGAATTTTTCAACTTCTTTTTCATAAAAATGTCATTATTATTTAAAAACTTTGGCATATAAAATTCGCCGAATGGTCACACACGAGCAGTGAACGCCTGAGGGAAGAAATGAAGTACATTAGAATAAAGGAGAATTATGTATTAGACAAAGCATTTTTGACAGTTGTCAAGACAAAAATAAAGATTAATAGAGGAATATTTAAAAATAAATAAGACAAGCTATACAACCAAAACAGTACTCAACCATAATAACAATAAAAAAAAAAAAAATAAAAAAAAAATAAATAAATAAAAAAAATAAAAATAAAAATAAAAA